CTTTTCCTTCCTTCCTTCCTTCCTTCCTTCCTTCCTTCTTTCCTTCTTTCCTTCTTTCCTTCTTTCCTTCTTTCCTTCTTTCCTTCTTTCCTTCTTTCCTTCCTTCCTTCCTTCCTTCCTTCCTTCCTTCCTTCCTTCCTTCCTTCCAAGACAGGGTCTTTGTTATATAGTCCAGGCTGGCCTTGAACTCTGTATGTAGCCCAGGCTGGCCTTGAACTTGCAGTGATCCTCCAGTCTCAGCCTCTGTGGAATTACAGGCATGGGCCACCGAGCCCAGCCCTTGTTTTTCTTCTTGCTCTTGTGTACCGCCTTTTGTTTGTTTTTTTGAGATAGGGTCTTGCTATGTAGCCCAGGCTGGCCTTGAACTCACAGCAGTCCTCCTGCCTCAGCCTGTGGAGTGCTGGTGATAAAGGTTAGAAAAACTCCCAACCTGCAAGGTATCTGGGATGAGTTTGTGTTCTCTAAAATAAAAGAATGAATTTTAAGAACAACAAAGGTTAAGAGCAGAATGTATTTATTGAGGGAAAAAAGTTTCTGTCCATGAGAGAGACAGAAGCATGGGAGCCCAAATGGCTTGCCCAAGAATTTATCTTTTCTAGGGACTTTTGTAGTGCAAAACCACGAGGTGAGGCAGATCCAAGGTGGAGGAGGGGGAATGAGAATTCACAAGGTGGAACAAAACTATGGTTAGCCAACAAGAATTGTTCAGGTAAAATTGAGTAAATGGAGATCAAATGGGGAAGGAAGTGGGCATGAATACAGAACAGGAGCTTTTCCTATAGGGAGTTGCATCAGTGACTCTTCAAGATGATTGCTACCTATTCAGAATATCAATCCCTGGGGTCCATCCCTAGGGAGGTATGTGGGTATGTTTGTTTAATCTTTTTTTTTTTTTTCTTTTTTGTTTTTTTTCAGGTACTGGGAATCTAACTCACGACCTTGTGCTTGCCAGGCAAGTGCTGTACCGCTGAGCTAAATCCCCAGCTCCTAATCTTTTGTTTTGAGATCTGGCCCTGCGGCAACCTCTCCATTTGCAAGATATCTTGTCCTCCTTACTGGCTCCTTCAAGGGCCTGTCCCTGTCTGACTGCTTATAATATTTCTATTTAACTCAGATGCCTACAGTACTGGGACTAGAGGCGTGTACTACCATGGCTGGCTTTTGTTTAGCTCTTAATTTAGCCTCCACTTTATTTTGATTTCTTTCTTCATTTTTCTTTGGAAAATAATCTTCCTTAAAAAGTATTAAGCTCACAGTTTTGTTTTTTTTTTTTGCTTCCAGTACCGGGAACCAAACTCATGACCTTGCACTTGCCAGGTAGGCGCTGTGCCGCTGAGCTAAATCCCCAGCCCTTTAAAAAGTATTAATAGATCTGTGTCTTTGTACTTCTGGCCGGGAGTTTCTACAAATGTCTTAGCTGATTCAATGCTATCAAACACAGTAAATAAATATTGAGCCCTTGCGGTAGATTGACAACTGGTGGTCAACTTATAACACCCAGCTGAACTGACTGAGTGTGGTGCTGGGAGTGGGAGGCCCACCTGAGGATTGTTGCCAGCAACATAAGAGGCAGAACTGGAGAAGAAGTTAGGCTGTTGGGAGCTGAGAAAAGGCTTTTGGTTGCTGGTAGAAGCGATAAGGAGCTGTTGGTTTTGATTTTGTCTTTGTTGTTGTTTTGTTAGTTTTTTAAATTTTTAAAATAAAAAAATACTGGTTTACCAAAAGAAAAAAAAAAGTGTGGTACCTGTATTTTGTGGAAGCAAAATCTTTGCCATTTTGTGATGGAGACAGAAAATAGACACAGGTAACTGATGATGTTAGACAAATGTTAGCTGGTGATTGGTACTGTGAAGAAAAAGCGAAAGCTCTAGGGCAGTGGTATTGTACATAAGGTGATTAACAACATGTAAGACCCAGGAACCTTTATCTTCTAAGCACATGTTAATTGTGATTTATGATCACCTAACCACATAGTTCTTTGCTTTCTAAACATGTATTTCCTGACAAACATAAAAGATTTGCTTTTTATTTTTATTTATTTTTGGTGTTGGGAATTGAACTCAGGACCTTGCACTTGTAGATTTGCTTTATATGAGGGTAATAAAACAGTTCGAGCTGGGTGTGGTGTTGTACACCTGTAGTCCCAGTTCTCAGAGGAGGCAGACCTGGGCTACATAGTGAGTTCAAGAGCAGCCTGAACTACACATGGAGACTGTCACAAACAAAATCAAATAAACAAATTTGACAACATTGGAGTCCTTATCTCTTTATTCTAAAAATGGCAGGAAAACTTTTGCACAATCTGTCACTTAAGATATCAGACAAAAAAAACCCCAAAACCCAAAAAACCAAACAAACAACAAAAAAAGATATTGGACAGATCCAAGCATGAGCAATTTAGTCTTACTTTAGATCTTCACCCAGTTTGATTAGCTAGCTTGTAGACCCTAGTTTGGGTCTTTCAGTGATTATTTTTTCTAGTGCCCCTGCTATCAGTAGAAAAGGTATTTAAAACACAATACCCGAGTAAACAAAATCTTGAAGTCAATGAATCAAAGTTAAATAGAAAGATTTCTATTAAAGCTTATTTTCTTCTTGTAGGAAGATAAATGTCCTAATTTCTTGTTTTTTGTTTTTTCAACTGTGGGGCTTGAATTGCTAGTCTCATCTTCTCCCCCAGGTGTCAGATATTTTAGACCAGGGGAAGAACCTGGCCACATTAGGGAGCAGATTCACTCTTGTGGCAATGTGGGTGGGAAGACCAATTAGGAATTTATTCTGTTTCAGGCAAATGGTGATGCAGGCTGGAATTAAAATAGTATGAGGACAGACAGGAGGGTTAGTGCTGAGTAGAACTTATAAGATTTAATTACAGAATAGTTGACAAGGATGAGGGAGGCAACCTGAGCTGTTCATCTGCTCTGAATTGAGTGACATTGGGCAGATAATTACATTATTAATTTAGAGAAAGGGTACAGACAGAGATACAGATGTGGGGGAAACACATAAGTACAACTCAGTATGTAGTGTTGAATTGTAAATCCATTGCTTCTAAGGTTTTAAGAGCAAAGGAAAGAAAAAAGGTTGAAATTGTGGATTTTAACACTGAATATACACTGTAATTTTTATTATAGCCTGTCAGCTCTTCCCTTAATCTCTGTGTACTGGCCAAGATGGAAGGGAAGGGATGACTTTAGTAGTGGGGAAAAACTAGAGCTGGGGACAAAAGGGAAAATATTTATTTTTGCATTCTATGGTGTGGGTGTGAGGAAGCTGGAAAGGCAGATTTTTTTTTTTAACTGGGATTTGAACTCAGGACCTTGCACTTGCCAGGCAGGCGCTTATGCCACTGAGCTGTATCCCTGGCCCTTGTTTATTTGTTTTTGAGGCAGGGTCTCCTAAGTCACTGCATTGCCCAGGGTGGGTTTTAAAAAATTATTTATTTAGAGAGTGTCTTGCTATGGAGTTTAGGCTGGCCCTTGAATTCTCTATGTAACCCAGGCTGGCCTCCAACTCACAGCAAT